GTAGTGGAAGGGTCTGACGAAACATCTCACGGTTGATGAGACTAGGCCTAAATCTACCCAACCGTTCACCTCCGCAAAGGTGAACAAGGGACAGGTAATTTCGACACCTGTGATGTAAACATTTGAACGCACTGCAAAGTAATCAAAGGGAATAATTTCTTCATAAAAGGGAGGCAACAAAATTTATAAAGTTGGCGATAAACGGGAATGGTAAGGAAATATGGCAAAAGCAGAATTAGGTGGGAAGGGAGATCAGGAGAGGGAAGGAATCATTTTGTTGAGGACACCCTGGGAGTCCAGCGGTAGGCATTCGAGTAAATAAAGCCCACACGGCGCATCAATTCGTCCGCCTCTGGTGGCCCGTTTCGGCTGAATAAGAGGGGGACAAAGACAACAAGAAGAAGTGTTCGACCATCTTGATGTGCCTACCTGACATCGTATGTCAACAATGGGTACGACCTAGTGTCGTCAAAAGCACGAGCTTCCATTGGACGAAAATTAATTTTACCGCAATCCCACCCGAGTTGGAACAACGAAATACGTGAGCTAATGGACTCGAATGAATCATCGGCTTCTAAATTGTCGCCGGTTATTGTGCAAGATTATCATGAAAAGCGGAGCGTGATCAAACCGACCAAAGTCCATCCAAAAGATTAGAGACTTGCGGTTTAAATCCCTTTTCCTGGCCATATCCAGTTAAAGTTATGCAATAAATTGTGCCACTGCATGGAAGACACAAAATGATTTTGTGAATTCACTAAAAACAGCAAGAAATTTCGAAGCTAGAAGTATCGTTGCTTCAGACATAATGTTAAATGCACCTTTTGGTAACAATATTACCAGCCAATACGGTTACAAGCGCGTTGCTTTCCCTTGATATGGTACAATGAAACATTTCACCACTGTGTCATGGCCACAATTCACCCTTAGAGGTCGTCACTTAATGTCAAGATTTTTTTTACATGGACGAGAGAGAGATTCACAACGAGAAGCAGCTGTTGCACTAAAAACAAATCAAAACTTCTAAAGTTGGAGAACAAATTGAAGATAGCGTACTGCATAGAGAAAACACTTGGAGAGGCGTGATAATGCTCAACCCCTACTCACACCGCCATGTGACAGCATTAAATCGTTGCAGCAAGTTCTAACTAAGCAATCCTTATGGCTATCATAAAACCATGGGAAATCCAAACACACAAAAACAAAAAAAAAGTAGCAGGAATAAAGGACTTAGTGACGAAAGGAACTAAGACTAGCTAGTATCTGTGGGTTGTCTTCAAAGCTGGATGTCCATCTAGTAGTGCAATTGTAAAAGCGCTTTCCATACAAGCAAAATGCATGTGGATCGAGGTTGCAAGTTTTGAATTTCATTCAGGCCTTAAAATCTTCCGCCACTAAACCCATTATAGCAGCGACTTAAATCAAATATGAGAATGAGAACAAGGCAAAATAGAAGTTACTGGACCCTCCTATCCATCAAAATCCCAGATTGAAGGTTCGATTACCCATCTCATCTAACCAATACACCAAATTGACGTTAGCTGATGAAGAGGTCAATTTCCTCACCTGCCGTGTGGATAAGGGAATGGCTTGATTTTCTCCTTTTCTAACTCCTGCAGAGCGGGAGTAAAAATTCGCCAAGCTTCATCGAGTTCGTCATATCGAACAAAGTTGGTCTGCGAGCCTGAGAAGACGTCTAACAGGAGGCGCTCGTAGGCGTCCGGCAGTTTGAGGTGCTTAAAGAGACTATGGGAAGTGAGTTTAGAGGGTTCAGAAGAATCTGCACATCAATCAAAATCTAGGGGAGGAGCAGTCAATCACATGCCTTAGGGTTGGTTGACGAAAGAATTACTGCACAAGGTCTTCAGTATGCTTGCTAAGGAAATGGATTCATAAATGAAAAGTAGCGCGTCACTATCACACTTTCAAAAAAACCTCAAACTACGGGCGAAAAGTTAAATTAATTAAAGCCATTTATCCATATCCACTCTCATCAAGTGAAGGTGTAGCTAAAACTATGGGAATGAATGAGGTGATTGAGTTTATAACCCAAAAAAGCCTTTTGCTTCCATCAGCTTGTCGAGTAAAGCGAGGTAAACAGTCACACCTCTGAATACCCCTTTGAAACAAAAAAAGTCTCCTTGGATATGGGTAATAGCAATTTGCGCCATGTAGAATCGCAACCAGAGCAAATGCTTAGCATTTGCGAGTACAAACAAGCCTATTGGTGGGTATTTTTCCATTCCTTCGAATGTTTTCCGCATGAATAGAAGAATGCGCCATAAATCTAGCTTCATCCACAGCCAAAATGCTGTGATGAGAACAATGTGACGGTCAGGTAAAACAACTACAGCCTATTAAATGATCATCGCTGCCAAAATAAAATAAATACAGCAACCGCACCAAGGAAGCGGATGAAGCACTCGATTTAACCCCTTTGTACGGATGTGGATCTGTTAAATCTAGTGAAATTAGTACCAGTTGGCACAGCCTTTTAAATGCTCACTTACGACCCCTTCAGCACACACCACCATATGCTCTCTGAAATCGAGGATGATACATAAAAGACCAAAAATTAGCTGAAACCTCTGTGGATTAAATTAATTTCGGATTGAAAAAATATTGGAAAAGGTGTATATCAAAGCAAGCCAGTTATTTTCCCACGGAAGGTACCATTTCAGTAAATAGATTAAGCTTTACGCAAGGCGTGCAGATTTTTTTGATGGTGAAACTTTGCTGTTCGTAAGTAGAACCATTCCAACTACCGGATGAGAGCCGCGCTCCCGCGTTTCATTTCCTTGAGCAAGTAAAGGCCTGGCAAATTGGGATAGTCGATCCAACACCTCGAAACAACTTTTGATATGAGTGAATAAATCGACTTGCGTGACTCAAAAATGAAGCGATTACCCACCCAACAACAAAAACTACTTGCTGGAAGCTAAGGGGAGTGGATATTCCTAGCAAAAAAACTGTCCATGTAACTTACAAAAGTGCAGCAAACTTGAACAATACTTGTAGGTTATGGTCTCAATCAGCGCGAAATGACAGATATTGTATAACATTTCAAAAGGCCTGGACTGAAGAAGCGATACTGGATACTCTAATAACTAACAATTTAGATTCCTAATATCTCTCCTCAAATCTAATTACCTAAACTACCGCATTTAAGATGTTTACGAGCACCACTATGGATAGGGAACAATTTGGCGCAATGATAGCACAAACGGAGAACGTGAAATTAGAGGAACCTATCTCATAAACTTATTTTTAAGTTAAGTTAAAGGGAGAGGGAAAGACGTCTGAAGATCTACCTCATATCGATGGGAGTAGGTAAGGTCCAGTTCCGTTTGTTCGGGAATGAAGTCCATGCCAGGGCGTTTGGTCATTACCTTTAGGTAGACAGCCTCGCCAGGCTGCACACGAATTACGAGTTCATTTCGAGCAACCGAAACATCTCCATGAGCACTAGTGCCAAAAATGTCGAAGGCGATGTCTTTGAATTGAATCCTTACTTCCGCCTTGCGCTCGTTCAAAGCTAAAACGCAGGTGTTAAGGATGAAATAATCGCGGAAGCATTGGTTTGCGGGGATGTTTTGCAATTGATGTAAGGAAATACGAGTAGCTTTGAGAAAACCAACAGTCGAAATGCTATCCAGTGGCCCTCAAGATTGCCTCACGTGACGTGAACCATCAAGGCGCCTACAGATACTCATCAAAGTCGGTCGATTTAAAAATGGCACTACAAGGCGTCCTTTTGCAACGAATTTCGAGAAAAGAGACATTATCCCTTGCTTGTAAGAGATAAACCATAGTTACAAGAAAAGCAAAATAAATATTGCCAGACCAAAGAATTAGCACCAATGGCCATTAAAGACATCCTCATTGCCAAGT